CCCCTCCTCTCTCTCTCTCTCTCTCTCTCTCTCTCTCTCTCTCTCTCTCTCTCTCTCTCTCTCTCTCTCTCTCTCTCTCTCTCTCTCTCTCTCTCTCTCTAGTTCCTCCTCGAGCAACGGCAACATCAACCTACAGTGGGCCTTGGAAATGGTCAAGTGATAACTGATGGTTCAAAATAATCTGTTGAAATGTAATACTTGGAACATTGGCAGTTTGCAGAAACGGAAGGCGTCCCTCGCTCAGTATCTTCACCCAGATGTTGATGCGTGTTGCCTTCAGGAAGTTAGAACTGGTGCTCGTTATGCAAAGATTTCAGGATGCACATATCATGACAGACCTAATTTTGGTAACCCCCCAAACGAGAGGACTTATTATTTTCATTAAAAATACTACTCCATCTAAAGTGATCGATGACATACGTGACCATACATGTGCTGTATATCTTGGTGTTGAAATATTTCCTGATGGGAGAACCATTAATGTATATAACCCACATGATAGTGAAGTGGTACCTAAACCTCCTGACAGTATGATACATAATGATACTGTCTTACTGTGTGCGGATTTTAATGCTCGCTACCCTCTCCAGGTGAGGTTTATTATGATTATCTTCAAAACACCAGTGACCCCATACACCTATTATGTCCCTTTGAAAAGACTTGTTATCTCCGTGGCAAATTAGATTACATAGCTCTCTACAATCGGCACACAACTCTCAAGCACTGCGAAAGTTGTCCCTTTCTTAGTCAGTGATCATTGGGCATCAAGTATTACCCTCCCATTTGCTAAAAGAAGCCTGCCCCAGCCATGCCTTCGATACCATCTTGCTACTAAACATCATGGGGAATTTGTTAAAAGGATTAGCTGCTGGTATGAAGACTTTATTCCTACCCGCCCTGATCACTTTAATGAAAGTTGGTAGCCTCATAACCCAACTCCAACTCAGAAACCCTGTCAAACATAGGTCTTCATCCTCCAGAGGTAAACGAGCATATCACCTTAACAAAGATCCGGAAATAAAGCTACTTAGAAAGTTAATAAAGTCTACAATAAATCACCTAAAACACTTGGGGGAAATCCCTACTTAGCCAGGGACCTTGTTTTCTTTAGTAAAAAACTGAATGTGATAACTCAAAAGCGGGAAGAGATATTGTATGCTTGGACAGAATCAATTGACTCCACGACTCCCATGAGTAATGTGTGGAGGGAAATCAGCAAGATTAAAGGTAAGGCATACAATGGAAAGCTTTGTCACTCCTCAGTAAATGCTGCGAAAACTCCTCTTACGATAATCTTCCTTTGTTCATACGTAGATGCACCCTCATCCGACTCCTTGCAAAGGTACAGGTACAGGGAAGAAATCCTCTTCTTGATCTCTTCAACTTAACCTATACTACAGGCATCTTGCCTAATGCTTCTAAACAAACTCTCATTATTCCGTTCCCAAAACCAGGATGCCCTGATGAATTTAGACCAATATCTCTGACATCCTGTCTCTCTAAAACTCGTGAAAGGATTTTTCTAGATCGTCTGCTCCACCAGATCAAAGATCAAATTCATCCATTAGTCTTTGGTTTCCAAAAGGGGAAAGGAAAACAAATGTATTTGGCACAGTAGCTAATTGGAAGTAATGCACAGTCTTCTTACTTCATAGATTTCAAGAGAGTATTTGACAGAACCTCCCCTACTGCAATCCTCTATGAATTAACTCTCCTAGGATTTAAGGGTAAGCTTCTGCTATGGATAAAGGATTATCTGTATTTGAGAAGAGCAAGAGTGTAGTACCAAGGCACCTACGGTACTTATGGTGAACTAGAGTTAGGCACTCCACAAGGAGGATTTTTGTCCCCTTCACTATTTAACATACCTATGCACTCTCTTTGCAAGCTTAACAGCGAGTTCGGAGACCTATGCAAAATCACATCCTATGCTGATGACATTCTCATTCAAGTCTTTGATAAGGGGAAGTATGTTCTTCAGAGATTCAGAAAAAAAGTGCGCTCCCTTTGGACTCATTATCAGCCTTATCGAGACTGAATATATTTACAGATCTCATAAATTGCCATACACTCCAAGATTAGGTGGACAAGTTATTGCAAAAACAAACACCTATAAGTATCTTGGTGTTATGGTGATTGCTCCCCACCTCATATCCTGCAATTCCCGCTTTAGTCGGGAAATTTGTTCAAAACATCAGGGAATGTTGCCTGGGGCCATTAAGACCTTTACACTATATAAGTAACAGATATATATTTGCTTCTTTAAGAGTCCTAAGGTTGGTGTGCCTTTCCCTCGTTAGGTCCACGACAGATTATGTGAGCCCGGTTCTTAGTATGTTGCCTCAGAGTGCTCTCAAATCCCTTGAAGTTTTACAGAACAAGGCCATGAGAGTCATTCTTGGTTGCCCAGTTACTGCTAAAGTTCTTATGAGAAAAGAGGTCCCGTCAATTCACAGTCGTATTACTCGCCAACACCATCCTCGGCATCAGACTTCTGCAG